GTCCCATCTTCACATTGAGGACAAACTGAGAACAGATTTAGCAACTCTAAAGTGGACATCTCTGAGACATTGATGACAATTAGCAGAACTGTATTTCACCATGATCTGAAACCTCTTTGCAGGTGGTCAAAAGTGTCAAACGGTGCGAGTAAAGTGTCAAGAACTAAGTGTTCGGGAGTAATCAGGATAGTAAGAACTTTTTCATTGGTTCCAGGGCAAGTAGCTGCAACATTGCGTTGTGACAATACATCACAGACAGCCTGCCTGTGAAGGAGAAAACATCTGATCTCTCTCTTCTGTGAATGGAAAGCTAAATGAAAATTATGAGCAGCTTGTGGATTTTAAGGAACTCTCTGCGCAGTTAGTAGCTTTCTATCTCTCTCTCCCTCTCCCTCTCTTTCTCTGTGCACCTTCCTGAAAGGAAAAAGGGAACAAAAATATTCAGAGTAAATGAAAGGGTGAATGCTCAATCGGAGAATGAAAATTGAGGATTGACATATCCATAACCTCCTGTCCTCCTCAAAGAGTTGAAAGGAACTGAAAGAAACATCTCATTGACACCCATAATCTGGACTGGTGACAAAACTGTGATTCACTGACATTATTTATATCTTCCCCACCTGTATTACCCGTGTCTTGTCTCATCCCTTTGTGTGTCTATTTGGAAGTCTATTTATAGATTCAAGATGGTGGTGGAGTAGGACACTCCAGCTGGAGCTCGTCTAATCTGTCCGTTCCTTTTCTTCTTTGTCCTCTCTCGTGTTTTTTTCTCTTCTGTCCTTTTCCTCTTCTACCAGTGGCCTGGAGCATATTGAAGATAGTAAGCGGAGCAGAGATGGTGGTCAGCGGCAAGGAGTGGAGATGGGATGGCAGCCAGCGGCCCACAGCAAGGATGGCCAGCGACCCAGAGCGGGGATGGCCAGTGACCCAGAGCAGGGATGGCCAGTAGCCTGCAGCATGGACAGCCAGCAGCCCAGAGTGGGGATGGCCAGTAGCCTGCAGCATGGACGGCCAGCGACCCAGAGCGGAATGGCCAGTGACCCAGAGTGGGGATGGCCAGCGACCCAAAAAGGGATGGCCAGCGGCCTGGAGCGGAGTGGGGACATCAGACAGCGGCCTGGAGCAAAGCTGCAGTGGCCAGCTGTGCAGAGTGGAGCTCGGATGGTGGCTAGCGGGTCCGGAGCAAAGATGGCTGCTGGTTGGGAACTGGTGGAGCCCGGTCAGACCACGTGGAAGCCTTTATAGCAAGACTGCAATGTCTATGTTTTTAGCTTTATTTCTTATTTTCCTAATTTATACCACGTATATCTGTAACATAGTGCAACATTTTTCCTTTATTTTTCTGTATTTTTTGTACCTAGGCACTTTGTACCGAAGATGGCGCTGTGTATTGGCGACATTGCACACTTTTGCTGTACTCCTATTCTTTTGTAACTTGAGTACACACGACAATAAACCTAATTCTAATTCAATGTCTATGCAGATTTTTTTTAAAAAGGGGTAGAGTTTTAGTTACAGGGTTACAGGATCTGGTATTAAGTTAGCAATTCGTGTAAGTACCTGCTTTCTTGTTAAACACAGTGAGTGTTTTCTTTCAATCTGGGATCGTCAGTCAGGTAAACTGGGGACTCTGGATAGACTGATTTATTCTTTTCAATTTTATGGCAACTCCAGGTAGAGTGGAGCTTGATTTCCTGTGCACTACCATAGCCAGTCTTTACAGGGCCACTTCCCTGTGTCGAAGGCATATCCAACAGGCTACCAAACTGATCAGTGAAACCTCTCAGGCCACACACCTATCATAGGCCTTTACAAACATGGATAAAAATCCCAGAGACAGTGGGAGGAAGATCTTAATTCGTCATTAAGTGGGTGTAGGCTGACAGGCTGCTCAACGCCTCCTTCATTGCTGATAAGATAGTATGGGGTAAGCACAGGGAATGGTGCTCATATCATGACACCTAAGTGTTTCCACTTCCACCCACCTATTAAGCATTGTCAGGTGGCTATAAAATCCAACATAAAACAAAGAAACATGGATGCTGGAAATCTGAAACAAAAACAAAATGCTGAATAAACTCAGCAGCATTTTTAGAGAGAAAGTAATGTATTTTGATGAAGAGTCACTGGATCCAATAAATTAACTCTGTCTTTCTCTCTACAGAACCTGCCAGATCTGCCGAGTTTATCCAGGACTTTGTTTTTGTTGGACCCTAAAATCCAGTCTCATCATCAGCACAAAGGGGATTTTGAATCCTTGCATTTTGTCAATTCTAATTCACATTCAACTTCCACAAGTCCTTAAAACATGAGACAAGAGTTGGTTTGAGGAAGTGAGCATCTCTCACATGAGACAACACATTTTGAGGAAGAACTGCCACATGACTCATTGCATACTCTCCACCAGCTGAGATTCACACAAGCTAATGGCCTTCCAAGTCAGGTAGCTACATTGCCGCGTGGTGGGTCATAGTCACAAGTGAGCAGCAGCAGGTACTGCAGACAGGGACAGCTGTGAAGAATCCCCATTAGACTCCAAACTGCTCAGCTCAACACAGATGTTGGGTTTCGAGAGTCATTGACCAACAGGACTATTCTGGAGCAGCAGGTGTAGAAAATGCTAGAGGTTCTGTCAGTATTTCCAGAGGCTTTGTACACCAGGAGAGAGACTGGCTTTCCTTTGACACAAAAACAGAAGTAACTGTTTCTGTTTTGGTTTCAGATCTCCAGAATCCACGGCTCCATTTCTAAAAAAAAATTATTTGAGTTCCAGAATGTCTAAAATACTTGTGCTCATATCCATTTCTCTGGAAACTGTGGGCACAAGCACAGAGCATCAGTCATGGCAGCCCATCAAGTGCATGCTGGCATTCTATCCAATCTGAACAAACAGATTTGAGTGAGGAAAGCTTTACCTTGGCAAAGTGCTGCAGAGCGCATTATAATTCTTGGCTGGCATTGAAATATGGAAGGTTGGGGGAGGAAGTATCAGAGAAAAGATGGAGCGATGGTACACAGAAATGAAGTCTCTCTTCAAGACACTCCTGTTCGTCTTGTGTTTAGCTAGGGCCCCACATGCTGACTCCTTTCTGAGGCCTGTGACCGAGACTGCTCCCTGCACAGGTACAGGTGGGAAAGCCTTTGGGAGGTTCATCGCGGGCTCCAAACTTCAAAGGATGTCCACCACGAACATCTGAGGAGTCGTAGTCGACTGAGTCGTCCACCTTCAGCTCTGCTAAAGCCACAGGTGTAGCAGTATATAGAAGCAGTAGAAAAATGGAAGATAAAGGATTTGTAGTAGCACAAAGAAAATCACTTGCGTGGTTACATAATTGACTCTTAAACGGGGTAAACTCAATTTCAAGTTTACATTGTCCATTTACTCACATTAATAAATCACATTTACCAAGTGAACATCACCTTGAGATAAATGGTAATGACAGGAATAGAAGACGAGCAGTGGAGGTTAGTGAAGTGTAAAGATTAATGACTACAGGAATGCTGTATGTTGGAAGGTTCAGTGGAGTCTTCGTTGATGTGTCACATCGCTGCCCAGTTTCAGACTAGCCCAACTGTGCATGTATGAGACCATCCTGGGAGTACCGGCAACAGGTTGTGTGGCTGTACAGACCCTCGCCAGACCAGGCTCATCCTCCTCCTGAAGCACGGTCATCACCTTTGTTCGTCCTGCAGCTCCAGCCCTCTCTGCTGAGCCTCTGCATAGCTGTGTGCACCTGGGATACACAGTAGTGTACAGAAGATTGTGAACTCCTGCAGGTGTCACCAAAACATCTGGCCCCAACGAGCATTTAACTGCTTTCCAGCCTCTCAATTTCAATACCCTATCAATCTCTGCTGTGCTCTCCACTATTTCATCCCAATAAGTTTCACACAGTTCAAGCATTTAATGCCAGAATGTAGGAGACATCTTCAATCAAATGGTTTTTATTGAAATCAAAATAATGGTTGACTGTCTTTTGCACATATTTTCAAAAGAAGTGTCTAGGCCCGAAACGTCAGCCTCTCTGCTCCTATGATGCTGCTTGGCCTGCTGTGTTCATCCAGCCCTGCACCTTGTTGTCTCGGATTCTCCAGCATCTGCAGTTCCTACTATCACTGATTAAATGCAGATATTGATGAGTTCTTGTTGAATTACCAGCATTTTTACTTTCATCACCCCAGTCTGCAAAATTGATATCAGATTCCCCAGCCAAACCCCTGTCAGTAAAAATTCCGCAATGCATTGTTGAAAATTATAGCCACTCTACTCTGGCAATTTAATGGCAATTAAATTATAATTAAATTAAACACTGAATTAGTGGCAATTTAAAAATTCTGAATTCTCTTGGGGCACTTACTTAGTCCATTCCATACATGGTTCAGTTGATGAATCATTGCTGGAGTATGTTCCTTCGGGGCACACCTCACACACAGTATCTTTGAACTGTGTACCTGAAAAATAAATGCATCATTATCTGTACCAGATCTTTTATTTCAAAAATAGACTTTATTCATAAAAAGCATCTCTAAGTACACACAAATGTTTTAAATCAGTTCCAACCAGTCTTTGCAGAGAAAATAAAAAGGGGTGGCTGGTGGTTAGCACTGCTGCCTCACAGCACCAAGAACGCATGTTTAATTCTACCCTTGGGCTACTGTCTGTGTGGAGTTTGCACATTTTCCCTGTGTCTGCGTGGATTTCCTACCACAATCCAAAGATGTGCAGGCTAGGTGGATTGGCCATGCTAAATTGCCCGTAGTGTTCAGGGATGTGTAGATTAGGTGGGTTATAAGGGGATAGGTCTGGGTGGGATGCTCTGAGGGTCAGTGTGGACTTCTTGAGCCGAACAGCCTGATTCCACACTGTAGGGATTCTATAAAACGTTGGAATTTTGACATTTTTCAGAGCTTTGCTGCAGTTGTAAATATACAAACACATTTTCTACCTATGTTGCAAACTACTTATGATTATTTTGAGGCACCGAGAGGGTCTGACAACTGAAAGGACCCTTGTCATACTTTGACAAAAAGATCTAAGATGGTGGTCTTTCCCCACTGTGCCTTGGCGGTGACTGCCCCAAGCTTTAGTGTGTCCCTCAGCATGTCGTCCTGGACCTTGGAATGTGTCAGTCTGCAACACTCGGCTGAGGTCAACTCTTTACACTGGAAGACCAACAAGTTTTGGGAAGACCAAACAGCATATTTCACCGAATTGATGATCCTCCTAGCACAATCAATGTTTGTCTTATTGTGTGTCCTGGTGAACAGACCGTAGAGCACAAGAGTCCTGAATGACAGAACTGCTCTGGACAGACCTCGACAAAGAACGCTGCATCTCTCTCCAGACCTTCTTTGCAAAGGGAAATTCCAGAAGGTGATGTGTGACAGTTTCCTTAACGGTGCAGGCACTTTGAAGGCATTGTGTGGCGGCACACAGAAGCTGGGTATACATGAAGGATCTGATGAGCAGTGTCCTTCACACCACTAGTCAAGCTATGAGTTGGTGGTTGTTGGAATGTTCTAGCGATGAAGCATTCTGCCAAATGATCTTGACAGTCTGTTTAGGGAACCACCTTTTCTTTTCCTGCAGTGTCTCCAGAAGGCTACATGCTGACCATTTCCTGTGGGCTTGTGGTCAAAGGTGTTTTTCTTTGCAAATTGTTCCACGAAGGGGAGGTGATATGGAACGGACCGACTTATTGGAATGTTCTGCAGCAGTCAAGTCAGATCCATCCTTTGCGACACTGGGAACAGGTAGAACCTCATTACATAGTGACACTTGGTGTCTATGGTCTATACACAACTTGATGAAGCCACACATCAGGATAAGGGTAGCATTGGATACATCCTTGCCTCCTTATCCACAGCTTTGTACATGGTGTCCCTGCAGACACAATCCATCTTAGATCTCCAGATGCAGTGGAAGATGGCTTGGGTGACTGCTAAGGCATAGGTCCAGGGAATGGGCCAGATCTCTAACATGTGCAGCAATACCAAAAGTACCTCACACCTGATGACCAAGCTTTTACCTGCAATGGAGAGGGAATGGTGCTCCCTTAAGCCCACTTTTTGCCTCATCTTGGTGATACACTCCTCCCAAGTTTTTGCGCATGCCCCAGCCCCTCTGAACAATATTGCCAGCACCTTCAGGTAATCTGTCCTTGAGGATCCAGAGATCATCCTGTCCGGAAAGCACAGGTTTGGTCAGGGTGAATCACTGATCCCACAGCAGACCTGACCCAGTTAATGATGACATTGGACGGGATTTTGTAATCTGCATTCGGCACTGAGACTGGTCGCCAATTTCTGATTTCTTTCCTCTCCCCCTTCTACTTGTAGATGAGAGCGGTGATACCTTTCCTCATGGATTTGCATACACTACCTGCCAGAAACATACTGCCATACACCTCCAGCAGGTCCTGGCCAATCAACTGCAACAGAGCTGAGTACACTTCAATCAGTAAGCTGTCGCTGCTGGGAGTTTGACTCTTCTCAAAGGCCTTAGTCAACTCACCAAGGGATAATGGCTGGATCAGCTTCTTCCACATGCTGTAGTCTAAGACTTCTGTGATAAAAGACAGGAATGACTGGGGGGCCATGCTGTCTGTGGGCTTCATGACATACAGTCTGGCATAAAAGGATTTGCTGATCCTCAGGATGTCAAATTGAGATGATGCTACTGAGCCATCTTCTTTCTTCAGGCTGCTGAGCACAGAGCTCTCTCTGTGAACTTTCTGGAAGAAGAAACGTGAACACATCTCATCCTTCTCCATGGTGTGGTCCCTGGACCGGAAGATTATTTTGGAGGCCTTGAAGGCAAAGAGCGAGGTTTGCTGGCTCTTCATCTCCTGGAGATCCTCACTGACATTGACCTCCATCAGGAGTAGGTTCCGTATGCTCTTCTGGAATTTTAACAATTTTACCCGTCTCTCTCACCTCTGAACACCTTTGAGGATGAAAAACCTCTTGATGTCCCCCTTGGCTGTTTCCCACCAGTCTGTTGGGAGACTCAAAGAAGAATTTCACAGTTCTCCGACTTTTGTAATCCCTTATGAGTGCCCCAATGTTTCTGGGGTCAAAAGTTTCACATTCATCTTCCACGTTCCCTTACTGGCCCACTTGCTGCATTGCAGGTGACAGTCAGCCATTACAGCAGTAGTCAGAAAAAAGAACACCGGCGTGACATTGAGAATCTGACTGAGAATGTTTGAGACACAAACACGAAATCTAACCTGGAGCAGTTAGACCCATCTGGCCATGACCAAGTCCATCTACACTACATGATCTATGCAGGGGTACTGAAGACATTGTGCGCTTAGCAGCTTTAACCGTTTCCATCAGGAATCCGGACATGGTATCCAGTTTGCTGTCAGACCCTTCAGATTGTCCAGTCGCATCAATGATATCAGTACCAGATCATTGAAACTGAATTTGTATTACTAAGGGCTGCTTCAACCACAGGCCCTGCGGCTGTAATTACAGCTCTAATACAAGGCATATACAGGTCCATTTATCTTGTAGGTAAGAGATAGTAGGAACTGCAGATGCTGGAGAATCTGAGATAACAAGGTGTAGAGCTGGATGAACACAGCAGGCCAAGCAGCATCAGAGGAGCAGGAAAGCTGAC